CTACAATCAATTCTTTCAGCATGAAGCATTCCATCAATCTGCAAGAGCAAGGACAAAGGTCAGGGAATGCGGTTCAGGTGACTTCCACACATCTACAAAGCTCGATGGCTACATCTGGGTAGCTGGAAAGGACAAGATTGCTCACATCCCAGAATCAGAGCAACAGAATGTGGACATGGAAGATCACGATGATGATGATGCTGAAGATGATTTGGAGTTTTTGCCAAGACTACAAGTTTTTGTCAGGAAAGAGGAGGAAAAGGCATCAGGCTCTCAGGAGAGAGAGGAAGAAGGTGTATGCTCTCAAGAAAGAGAGGAAACACAACCACAACAAGAAGATGAGGTATTACCAGATGCAAATCCTCGAAGAAATATGGAAGATCGACAGGGACTGTTTTTAGTCAGGCAACTCAAACCAGAGCACAGGAGGATCCTACAGGATATTACACTTGCAGGCCAATCAATCCTCACAGGAGATGATCTTGAAGGAGGTCAACCCCTTGAACGTGGTGACATAAGCTTCTTCTCATTATGGTTGATGATGTCGGCATTATCAGATGCTTCCTTTTCAACATTTATGGAGCAGTATGCACCCATGATGGGTTATGAGATCTCTTACGACAAGTATCATGAGTTCAAACTGGATATTGACCAAGTTCTCAGGGAGAATGAACACCTTGGCGCAGAAAATTTCTTTGGAGCAGAGGATCCTGATTTGGTGGACGATGATCCAGACACTCCTCTTCCAGATCTTCAAAGACCAGGCGCAGGTGATCCTGAGTACAAACATACTATTGAAAGTTTGAACATTGAGGACAAGCATATCGTTTTGAAAACTGATGATGACAAATTGGTTGAGTGTACATTGAAATGGATCAGTATGTGCAATCAGAATGTTCAACAAAAGATCAAGGACAGTTTTGTCAAACCAGAAGAACGACAAGAGAAAGAAGAGGATGAAGAAGAGGAGATTGCTGTCGAAGAAAAAGAAGAAGAAAAAGACACACAGGAGCCACATGTCCCAGCTGAAGGCTCTTCAGAGAAGGAGGAATCAGCTCCACCTGAACGCTCCTCAGAAAAGGAGGAATCAGGGGAGAAGAAAATAGACATTCAAGATGATGAGACAGCTCCTGAAGTGAAACCTGCAATTCGACTTTACTATGGTCAAGATATCACTGGAAACGAAGATGATTCAGTTTTTCGAAAATTGAAGGATTGTTTTTCAGATGATTACCATGGTGAATGGGCAGGATTTTACAACAAAGGTTATCCAGCGTCTTCGAAGCATCGACACATGTTTTGGCATGTCAAGTACAGAAAGACCATGTCTCCACATCAAGATTATTGGTACCATCTTACAGATGAACAGTTGATGGTTGAGTACATTGCCAGACACAAGGATCAGAATCCACAACTAGAATTACAAGAACTCAATCAGCGCATTGAATATGGTTGTAGTGATCCTAGGATGCATCCTCTTCATCAAGACAAGGCAGAAAGATCCTCAAAAGAAGCAGAAAAGAGGATTGATGACGATTTTGGAAATCTCACAAGGGTACTCCAAGATTACGTTGAGGACCACAAGGTCTTGCCTTACTGTATGATCTTGCATAGCTTGGCTTACAGGTATTTAGGTGGAGGCCTATCAGACCCAACGTACAAGGATGCTGAATTTCCATACAGATCCTCTCCACAGATAACAGCAATGTTTTGGAATTTGGGAAACTGGTGCAGAAACAGATTTGAAAAATGCCCGGTTCCAGAAAGATTTCAACAATTCATTCCACACATTGACTACACCATCGATGAGGATCATGAAAAATTTGATGAAAACAAATCACAGTTCAACAATTACTTCATCAATGTCATCAAGAACTTTGGAGGACATCTTTTCATGAATTGCGAGGCTGGTTCATTGTATCCTCACAGAGAAAGACTCGACGAGGTTGACTTTAAAACTTGCTTCAATGACTATCATGACTTGATGGTGGCAGCTCGCCTTGGAAAGGATGGCTATATCAAGCAAATTGCTGGATATCACACAGATGACAACGACACACGAGTTCGACAAGTCTCATGTGCAATCTTTGAAGTATCTTGGGGAAAGACAAAGGATCGAGATACAGATGAGATTGTTGACTTGACAAGAGCTAGGATGAGAATGACACGTGTGTGCGTTTATCACGTCGGACAGAAGTATGCATCAGACTCTGCTGGGATTGTTGGTGAGTGCTTAGCTGTTATGGCTTTTGAATGTGCCAGATATCAAGTTGACTTCATCGCAGGTGATGGAAACAAGGCATGCTATTACAGCACACCAAAATCTCCAGGTGTCCCTACATACCAACACAGCCTTATCCAATTCTGGATCAACAGAATGGTAGGTGTTGCAACACAAGCCATGCGCAAGTATTTTGATTCATCTTGCCCTCCAATCAGGGTCAAGCATTTCATTTCTTGCAGTTATCGTGACTTGGATTTTCTTGCAACACACTTGGATGGCATTGACAACAGCAACATACACCGACGAGCTCATGAACAAGACAAATGGTAAAGGTGATTGTTGTATGTTAACAGTTGTTGAGTGGGGTCATTCACGTTTGATGTGTGAGGAACACCCAGAAGACTTTGAGGATGAAGATCACATGAACTATGTGGGTGAATTTTACTTCAAGGTAAATGAAACTTGCTTACATGGTGATCACAACATCTTCATGGTTGCCCCAAATGATCGCGATGCTCATAATCCAATTCTTATCCATCTTGATCCTTCTGATATGTCATGGAATGAACGACATCATTACAAACAGGCCTACAAGAAGAAGCAGTATGCTGATACAAGAAAGGAAAGACAGAAGGAGAAAAAGAGAAAGGCATATGAAGATCAAGCATCGACGTATCAGGGCAACACAGAGTGGGGTGGATCCTCATCTTCTTCGTCCAGACCATGGAGATCAAGCTTTTGGCTATGAGTGAGTGTATACTTCTTTAAATGAAGATAACACAGCATGAGAAGCCGTGTACAGTTTTTCTGTGCGTTCAACTTATTTCACACAAATGGCATATACTCTTTTAGATAGAGATAATGCCACAAGTGTCTGAACTTCAATTTAATGTAAAATAGAGACTCTTGTAAATAGAGATACTATACACATTTATCTCCATGAACCATCCGGCGAGCAGACCACTCCGAATGGAGCGAACTCCAAAAATTACCAACTTCGATTTCAGTCCATTGTTTGCTTGAATGAGCAACTTTGGAGATCCGCTATTTCCGTTTATTTCGTGATTTGGTCAATTGTTTTTCGTATGACCTGAATTTCTGAATCTTGCGAACCCGAACTTTTCAATTCGAACTTTCACCGGTAGAGCAAGGCATTTTGCCTGTGGAGAGACCGTGCGCGAAGCACCATTGGTCGCTACTGGAAAAATTAGCGAATCCGCTGTTCTTTTTCGACATGTCCTTAGGACATTCGCTGCTTTCACGTGTTTTTCAATTCGAAGCCACTGCGTAACTCCGGTTTCTTTTGCTATTTGCCATTGTGTAGAGAAGTCAGGAAGATACTCTTAATACCAATTGGGTACGGCAAGGCGTAGTGCTCTACTCATTGCTTTTGAATTTGTGCCTGTGTTTTTGTTTCGACCTAATACCTACATAGGTACATGCATGAGTATTGAGCACATTTATATGCGCCCTCAAGGCTCAAGAAAGAGGTATATAGAGTAACCCTGTAGACAAGCACAGACCGGCAACAGGCTGAGTAAAACAAGTGCTGTCATTGGGGAAGACGCCTTAGCTGATCTTGAAGTAGACGCTAGGGCCCCTCTTCAGGCCCCCCCCCCCCTTATAATTGATATCCAATACATAACGGCGAGAATTCCTTGAATTCCGTGGGCTGGCCCCCCAATACCCCCTAAGCTTGTGCTGAAGCACGGAGAACTCAGGTAGCTGACGCTACCTTTCGTGATGAGGATGAGGATGAGGATGAGGGTAAGGATGATGATGATGATGAGGAGGAGGAGGAGGAGGATCATGTGAGGATGATGATGAGCGTAAGGATGGTGATGATGATGATGATGAGGAGGAGGAGGAGGATGAGGAGGAGGATCATCATCGGAACAGAACCTAGGACCACACTTTGTGCGAGCCTGCACAGTCCAAACGCATGTCCACATGTCACAAGAGACATCAGAAGAGCCACTTTATACGGAATTTACAGGAAAATTTTCGCGGCCCAGACGGGGCCCAGAACGTGGACACACTTTGTGCGAGCCTGCGCAGTCGAAATGCATGTCCACACGTCACAAGAGTCAGAAGAGCCACTTTATAGAAAAATGCCGCAACCCAGATTGGGCAGAACGCAGACGAACACTTTGTGCGAGCCTGCGCAGTCGAAATGCATGTCCACATGTCACAAGAGTCAGAAGGGCCACTTCATACTGAAATTTACAGGAAAAATGCCGCGGCCCAGGTTGGGCCCAGAATGCAGACAAACACTTTGTGCGAGCCTGCGCAATCGAAATGCATGTCAAGATTTACGAGAGACATCAGAAGAGCCACTTTGTACGGAAATTTACCGGAAAAATCCCGCAGCCCAGATTGGGCCCAGAATGCAGACACACATTTTGTGCGAGCCTGCGCAGTCGAAACGCATGCCAGGATTTCACAAGAGCCACTTTATACGGAATTTACAGGTAAAATGCCGCAGACCAGAGTGAGCACCCTGATCAAGCACCGGCCCTTACAGCTACAGTAAGAACCCCTCAGTGTGGACACACTGTTTGGGAAATCAGAAGGATCACTCCCATGCTCACTCCATCACATGCCATCCATCATGGTCGCTTTTTTTTGCTAGGAATCCGCACACCTTGGCAAGTAGGGACCAGAATTGCTCTACCACCATGTGGCTGCTGGAGGTTCTCTAGCTTTTGAATAATTGCACACAACACAACAAGCAAAAATGTTCCGAAAATATATTCTGAACAGGCCAAGAAGTGTCCATGTTGTGCACTTGAAGCCGCTGGCGCTTGTCCAGGGCTGCGAAGCGCGGATGTGTGCTGTGGTGGCAATACACACAAGCATCTCCCATGTGGCAGCTCCCTTTAGCCAAGCGAATGCATGGCCGCGCACATAGAAAGGGATGGCCCCGGCTGCCCTGGATAAGTGCATGACGCACGGGCGTTGCCGAAGATGTGGCTGCAGCCGAGTCACACTTCTGCGCATCTTCCTCTTGCGATGCCTCTTGCCGACCCATCTCTGTCTTCATGTCTGCCTCAGCTGCAATGGTCTCCGTAGCTGCCATGTCTGGTAGAATTGGTTCTTCTGGCCCCATATTTGTTGGAAGTTCATCTGCTGCAACTGACTCGACTTCCTCTCCATCCACTGGAACTGCTGCAACTGGTTGTTGCACTGGAGCTACCCTCATCAACCCAGTCAAGATCTGGGTCCTTGGCCATAGCTCAGCGACGTAGATGGCCATTGCATGCTCTGGACTGTTTTGCTCATCTGCATCCACATGCGCTTGGCTAAGATCGGGACAGCTTCGCGAGCGAGGCAGTTCCACACCCGCTGACTCTTCATCAATGAAGGTGTGAAGGTATCGAAAATTCGCCATGCCCGTGTGCGCCACTTTGGCAGTACCGGGCACGAACGGCGCATCTAGAACCGAAAGGAATGCATATCAGGTTTATCTGTCAAATCCTACTGCGAAATCATGAACAATGCAAGGCTGGACTCTCTCCGATTCAAAATATCTTTCACTGTTTCCCCAGCGGTGCCATGATCCAACCTTTTGGGATGGCCCAGGATATTCAAACTGCAATAATCCATAAAGCGCTTCAAGCCTCGTTCGCTCGAAACTGGTGCAGGGCGATGGCTTTCGAGAACTTCCACGGTATCAGGTTCCTGTGACAGATGTGGGGATGGACCCAAACTCCTGGAAGTCACAACGTGCCGTAGCTGGTATAAAACAGGCGCCGTAACCTTTGCCTTTTTAAAAATGGGGTTGATAGGTATCAATAAGCATATGTTCTTGAGACTGTATTTCGTCAAAGAAGGACCTTCTAGATATAGATATAGGTATAAATATAGATATCAAATATTGATATAGAGATAGATATAAACTATATATACACTATATCAAATAGACAAGATATTGATAGAGGATACTGAGATCATCTTCGTACAAGAACGAACTTCCTATGTGCATCCCACAGAAACTTTCATGGAGGCGCCTCTAACGCATAGCATCTTCAAGATCTTGATGCCAGGACCTATCAGGGAGGACTGCACCAGGATCCCCACAAAATTTTCTCATAAGGACCTGTGCAAGATCATGCAACGACCTCTTAGAAAATTTCAGCAGGATCTTCACAAGAGCTTCTCATAAGGACCTGTACAAGATCATTCAAGGAGGGACTTAGAGGATTTCACCAGGATCCCCACAAGATATTCTCACAAGGACTTGTACAAGAATGTGGTCAAGATTTTCATATATCACGGACCTCTATGACTGCACCATGAAACTGCTGCAAGATTGTCATGGAAGGACCTTCCAGAAAACTCAGAAGATTCAGATTTCTTGCCGGGATCTTCGGAAAGCAGCTAAGACAAGCATCGCGCCACAGCGAGAGCGATCTGACAGGCGCAAAGACACGAGAGGGTTGCGCGAACGATATCAAAATTCGCACCACGCCACAACGAGAGCGATCCGACACGCACAAAGTCACGAGATGGCCGCAAGAGCAGATAATAGATTTTCACCCAATACTGTGCGCACCATGAAAAATGAACATTGAAAATCTGAAAAACGATGTTTTACCTATATAGGCTTCAGCGACGTCTTTGTCGAGGTCTACACTGCACAGTACGGCGCCTGACATGAAAAATCCGAAGTGCCGCAACATGGAATCATCATCATGTCCCAAATCAAAAATCAGGTGGCTTTCGATGCTTTCAAAACGTCGTCCCACGTTCACCAAATATTGCATCTGCCACGAAAGATGACCTCCAAAACCACCACATGGACCCACGCCTGCCAATGTTTTAGCAAAGTCCAGAAAGTGTCACGCCTGCCATGCGGATGAATAAGCCTCCGATGTCCTGCACCTATCACGCACAACCACGCTCCAGACCTCAAAATGCCCCCAAAGTGCCACGCCTTCAAAAAAGGACGTACCTCAAAAAACGAGCGCCGCGCACCACTAAAAGTAGACTTTGGAAGAGACCAAACTGGGGCTCACACTTTGCCTGTGCGGTCGAAATGCTCATGGACATCACATAAGGGAACTTGTGTGCGAGCCGGCGCAGACAAAAGCCAGGGCCCACAGAACGTCCCCTTATGGTCTAACCCCGACCTTGTCATTACACCGGAAAGGGACCCCAAACAGTGCGCGGGTAGGAAGTCAAATAACCAGATACAAGCAACAGTAACTATGGAACAGCAACAGACCAGGTTAGACATGATCGTAACTGCAGCAGCAGGAACTTGTTTTGCACAAGAAGCAACGCTATGTCTACTCATCAGGACCTCATACCAGAACCTCATACCAGGACATTAAGAGAATTTCAAAAGATCGTCAAACCAGGACCCTTTATACAGAGGATCTTAGATGATCTTCAGACAAGAACTTCCTATGAGCATCCCAGAAGAACTTTCATACATGAACCAATGCAGACAACCTCTTGGGAGGATTTCAACAGATCTCCGCAAGATCTTCTCACAGGGACCTGCACGAGATCAAGGACACCTAGGGGATTTCACCAGTACCTCTTCAAAATCTTCTTATAAGAACCTGTACAAAATCATACTAAGGCCTCTGACGGCATTTCACTAGGATCTCCAAAAGATCGTCTCACAAGGACCTGTACAAGATCATCCATGGCAAGGACATCTTAGATAGAGGTTTTCACCAGGATCTCTACAAGATCTTCTCACAACAAAACTTAAAAGACCTTGATCAAGATCTCCATGCCAGGATCGCTAAGAGAATCTCACAAGATCGTCAAAAGAAGAACCTACTGCTGCTGGAGATGACATTTCAAGATCTTGGCACAAGAACCTCCCAAGAGCCTCCCACAAAAGCTTTCATACAAGCACCTCTAATACATGGCATCTGCAAGATCTGATCTTTGCAAGGACCTTTTAGACACGATCTCGCCAGGATCTCCACAAGATCTTCTGTTAAGGACCTGTACGGGATCATGCAAGGACCTGTTAGAGAGGACTTCACCACGATCTCCACAAGATCTTATCATAAGGACCTGTACAAGATCATGCAAGGACCTCTCAGAGGATTTCATCAGGATCTTCACAAGATATTCTCACAAGGGCGTGGTCAAGATTTTCATATGTCACCGACCTACATGACTGCACCATGAAACTGCTGCAAGATTGTCATGGAAGGACCTTCCAGAAAACTCAGAAAATTCAAATTTCTTGCCGGGATCTTCGGAAAGCAGCTAAGACAAGCATCGCGCCACAGCGAGAGCGATCTGACAGGCGCAAAGACACGAGAGGGTTGCGCGAACGATATCAAAATGCGCACCACGCCACAACGAGAGCGATCCGACACGCACAAAGTCACGAGATGGCCGCAAGAGCAGATAATAGATTTTCACCCAATACTGTGCGCACCATGAAAAATGAACATTGAAAATCTGAAAAACGATGTTTTACCTACATAGGCTTCAGCCACTTCTTTGTCGAGGTCTACACTGCACAGTACTGCGCCTGCCACGAAAATTGAGCCCGAGGCATCCGAAGTTTTGTGCGAGCCTTCGGATGAGACTTACCATAAGAACCCTTCAGTGCGGACACACTCTTTGTGAAAAATGCTCAGCCAGCTCTCATCACTATCATTGATCATCATCCCCTGGAGGCCTTGTCGCAGTAGTTCACCCACCGGCCCACCTCGGCACATGGTTGGGATGATGCAGGGTGCGTCTGAAAGGGGGATGCCCATAGAGTTGCCATTTTTTATGGGTAAAATATGGGAAAATGATGGGTTTCGTTTCAAACCCTTTAAATTTTAGGGGTTTAGGCTACCAGGGTAAGCATCAAATCTATTTTCTGTTTGGACCTTTTGATTTTGGACATTTGCCCACAAAAAAAAAAATGTGTCCCATTTACCAACACCAGCAGATCTTGTGCTGGAATATTTGCCTGAAACTAGGGTACCCCCAAATTTGATGGTTGCGTTGAGTATCATGTTCCCCATTTAAATTGCAACTTTGGGGTATGGGGTATACCGGTATACCCACGTTCAGACACACCCAGATCAGATTGGGACAGCTCTTGCTGGATGCAGAAGGGGTGCAGCTGGGCAGGAGGGGCGTGTTGTCACCAGCGATGGGGCCGCTGGACAAGAGCACGTGCTGTGTGTTCAGCGGCAATTGCCTCAAAAACGTTGGCAGGTCCACTTCTGTGCAACCAGGTCTCCTCATGTCAAGTCCAACCAAGCTTAGTGGGTTGAGGGTCTGGGAAACATCGTCACTCTGGGGAACTTCCTCCAACCAGAATGACATCGGCGATATCCAATGCACCACTTGTAAAGAAAACTGTCTTGCTGCCCTTTTTGCACTGTCATCGCAGTCTGTTCGCTACAAATTGAACCCGCAAGGAAAGCACAATGTTCAAGACTAACAAAAATTGTACAGAAGGGAAACATGTTCTGCGAAACATTTTAGCACCATGCTCACCATTGCTTCAGGTTCGATTGGAACACCACAACTCTGATCGCTGCTGCAGCCCCCACTGGTATTGATCAATCTGTCAAAGAAAAGAACAGTCGACCCCGACTGGGATTGACTGCATTGGAGTGCTGGAAGCTCTCTGAAGATTGTTGGTCCATTGGCAAAGTTCCGTCTACTGATCTTTTCTGGGCTACGGCTACGTAACTGGGTGCCTGCAGCAAGCTAGATTTGATCCAGGATTCCCTATGAGCATCCGTGTGGCTGCCAGCGGCGTCCCATTTGATTTTTTTTATAGCCTGTGGCTTCAATCGGTGGAAAAATATCACAGTAGTCAATACTAGTAGGGATCATCAGGTGGCACGGAATCAGAAAATATTTGGACCTGGGTGAACCTGGGACACCGCAACTGACACGTTCCTTGCAATCAACACTCGGACGCTCTGTCGAGAAACCCCCGAAGTAAAAGCTGACTTATCTGGAAGAACCCCCAACCCCCCAGTTATAGGTTGGTGTATAAGCCCTTCTAGAGTGATATATCCACCGTAACCCCTTGTTAACCTACTCATGAACCAACTTAGTTCAGTCGGAGGGGCCTTTCCTTAAATCAACAGCTTCATGTTCAGTGATGTCTGAAAAAACATTCATTATAATTCCACCTCTCGCATTACTTCGAGACACTCGACCCTTGCCTGCTGTGTCGAGACACTCTCAAGACCTGTCCGCCTAGTTGGCGTCCCGACATTTTACTGTAATCCAGGCCGTCCCCACAGGACTTAGCACACATGCAGACCAAACAAATGCCTGTTACTGCTTGGCTTTGTCAGTCTTATCTGGTTTGACCATGGTACTTACCGACTTCCTGCCGGGAATTCCTCGAGGAGTGGCCTGTTGTGATTATGTCTACCTGCCACTGTTTCCTAG